CATGTCCATACCAGACCAACTGCTTGGACCTGATATCGTGCACGATGTCCTTTTCCACACCCATTATCTCGCGTACCCTTTCATTGCGGATACGCTCTCTTCTCGATATCCCAGCAGACCTTCGCCAAAAGTCCATCTCGGTTGCCCTAAGCATGTCTTCAGTTCTTTTCTTAAGTTGCCAGACCTCACTCCCGTAAGTTACGATACTCTTCACGATGACGTTGTAAATTTTCCTTTTGGTCTCCTTGGAGATACTCTGGTCCCAGAGAACCCCATTTAGCATCGCGATAGCTTTCCTGCCTTGCACATTCCGATCTTTAATGGCCCGATCCAAATTTCCGTCCTTAGTTAACCAAACTCCGAGATATTTATACTCTTCACAGTCCAGGATCTTCCGGCCATCCTCCAGTTCAATGCTTTGCTGATCACCACCGATAACCAACTTCTCCGTCTTAACCACATTTACTTCCATTCCCCACTTTCGGTATACTTCCACTAGCTTCCGCGTCATGTAATTCGCATCTTCTTCGTCCTGAGCTATTACCACCTGATCATCAGCAAAGCACAGAGTATAAAGGGTGCCATCTTCACGTAGCGGGACGCCCATTCCCGAACAGCATCTTTTCCATTCCTTTAAAACTTCTTCCAGGTACACTTTAAATAAGGTTGGCGACAAACAACACCCTTGTTTCAGTCCTTTAGTAATTAAAAACCCCAACGATAACTCCCCATGCGATTTAACCCTAGAGAAAGCCCCACCATAAAATTCCTTAATAGCACTAATTAGTCCCCCACTAAAACCCCTTTTGTTCAAGGCTTCCCAAAGTTTCATCAATGGCACACTATCGTAAGCTTTCTGGAGATCCACAAACACTAGATGTAATTCCTGGCCAACTCCCTTCTTTTTCTCTATGACGTGGATGATGGTAAATAAGTGATCAATCGTTGACCGACCGGCTCTGAAACCTGCTTGCTCTTCCGCTTCATGTTCTTTCCACTCCTCTTCAATTTTTGCTTTCAAGATTTTTCCATACACTTTGCTCAGGGTACCTGCAACCGACAGTCCTCTATAGTTATCACACTCATCTTTTCTACCCTTCTTCTTGTATATAGGTGACACCCAAGACTCTTTCCATTCTGTCGGTACCTTTCCACCGTCCAAGCAATCTTGCATCAGGTATCTCAACCGTTGAAACAGCTTGCAGGTTCCACACTTGATCAACTCAGCAGGGATATTTCCCGGACCTGGAGCTTTATCGTTCTTCAGCTCTCGTACGGCCTTTACCACGTCCTCCATATGGATCTCCAAGTTATGATTATCGTTAGTATACTCCAAGCTTACGCCTCCATCTTGAAATTCAGGTCGCCTTTCTGTCAGTAAATTTTTAAAATACCCCTCCAGTTTATCAATGGATATCGGAGATATTAAGTCACGCTTCATGTCCCTTCGCAGCCCTTTCAGCAACTTCCAGCTCTCAGTGCTTTTCCTTCCTCCTATGTACGTGTCTATTTTGTTACAGCTCCTCTCCCAAGATTCGTTCTTTTTCTTGGTTATGAGCCTTCGTACCTGCGTCTGAGCTTTTTTATACGCCTCTTTGTCTTCTGTTTTTTTAGAGGAAAGGAACTGATGATATTTTTTCCGTTTCTCCTGAATCTCCTTCTCAATTTCTTCGTCCCACCAGTAAGGTTTTTCGCTAACTTTCCTATCATCAGCGACACCAAGAGCTTCCATTGCTGCCGAGTGAATGCAATCCTTCAGGAACTGATACTGCTGTTCGGTATCACCGTCCCTTGATTCGCCCAACTTCTCATCCAAGCGCTTTCCATATAAAGCCCTTACACTTGGATGCTGCAAGCTGTCAATGTTATAGTTTACAAGCTTGACACGATCTTTTTGTTGGTGAACTTCTTCCTGTGCTTGCCTGGTCTCCTGGCTCCCTTTCACTGGGAAAGCTATTTTCGCCCCGAGGAAATAATGATCACTGCCGCAGGAAAGACCTCTCCACACTCTAACTTGCTGAATCTTCATTCCCGTGTCTTGTCTGACAACCACATAATCAATGATTGATTTCAATCCGCGAGTAGACTGAACCCAAGTAAATTTATGGATATCCTTGTGTTGGTAGAACCCATTGAGCACCTTCATGTCCCTTTGCTCACATACGTCAATGATACGGGCTCCGTTATCATTTAGTGCCGCCTCTCCGAAAGGGCCGACGATCTTACTTTTAATTTGACATCCTATTCTACCATTGAGATCTCCCAACACAATGATTTCCCTCCTGGATCCAATCTTACCAATTTCCTCGTTCAATTCTTCGAAAAATTGGTCCTTCACTGCGACAGTGGAATCATCGTTGACTCCATACACTCCCAAAATGGTGATTTTATGGCCAAACACTGTCATATTCATCTTTATCATTCGGGGGTTAACAGCTTCCCATGTAGTGATGCACTTGCGTAGGCTCTTGCGAATAAGAATTGCAACACCCTGTTGAGCTCGCTGATCTTTTTCCACGCCACTATAAAACAAATCGTATTCCTTTACACTTACAGAGCCTTGTCCTTTCTTCTTCGTTTCTGTTAATACCGTGACATCAAATCCGTGACTCCCTATCTCCGATACCACTTCCGTCATTTTCGTAGAAATTCCTTGTACGTTCCATGTTCCAAAAACCATCATCCGTTTACGTAATTTTTTCCGATAAATCCGTTTATTTCCATTTGTACCGAGGCAATTGTTATTGGGTCTTTTAACAGTATTCCTTTTTCCGAGTATCGGGGAGTTAGCCCGATGACTCAACCCCCAACCTGGAGGACCGGGGTTTGTTTTCGGAGTTTCCTCTCCTAGACAGGTTGCTTCCACTACAGCTGAGAGCCCTGTCTGCCCTTCCAATGGGTGGTTCATACGCCTTGAAGCCGGTGACCATCTCCACTACCCCATGAGGCAGGGGTTACCAGCTGGGGTCCGCAGGATTGCTAAACCTGTGACATCAGTCCCCCATACGGGGGTTTGTAATTGCATACATTTCTTAATTCCACAGCTCCAAGGAGAAGCTGTGCGCATCGAACACATGCTCATAAATTCACAACGTCAGCCGGCTTGCATTTGAACGATAAATCAGTGGAAAATTGAACATGATCGAACGCCAAATTTCTCATGAGTGAGCTAGTTTACCGCGTTCTTGAAAATGAGTTTATCTAGTGAAAAATGGGTTATGAATCCCTTGAATCCTGAATTGTCTACTACGTAATACAATGTGATGGAGCCAGAGTCCTGCCATCCTCGGGCGCTAGACGCCTTCTCCGCCTAAAAATCGGGCTTTGGCGCCTAAAAATTGGGGCAATGGGGCCATCTTTGCACCTATAAAGGTTGACGCGTCCCGTGGATTCTTTCCAATTCCCAATTTCATGCGCCATGATGCATATCCATGGCTGAAGAACAATACCGTTTATCTGACAATGACTGACAATGACAATCAACTAGATAAGGTACGAATTTAAGTAATTGATACATGATTCTTGACCAAAATTTCACGTAGAACATGATTCACACAACGAAAATTACTGGAACCAAACTCCTAACGAATATATTAACGTTTTTATTTCACAATGGTTACGAGGAATTTAAACTGCCCGCTCACAAGAAACTTAAAACTCTACGTGAGTCAAATCGCCCACTACAACGGTTTCAGCAAGCTTCTCAATCGAGCAATGTTCATTTCCCACCATGTGTTGTTCAAACTATTAGCAATTCGCTATAACTGAGCCAAAGCGTCAAGATTGAGGTTGCCAGATTTTTATATCGCAGAGACTGTCATGATAACTTTTAGGGCGCGATGTAAATCACGTAGAGCATTGAGTTTTCATGAGCGAGTGGTTTGAATTCACGCATCATGAATCATTAAATATCTTCGTAAGGAGTTAATTTCGGTAATTTTTGTTGTGCGCATAGTGTTCTACGTGAAATTTTAGGTAAGCAACACGTATCAGAATGCTGAAATTCGTACCTTGTCTAGTGGTCCATTTTAACAAAAATGTGTTAGCGACTTTCCCGCCTTTACAGCATTAAATCCGCAAGCTGATGTTCTTAGTTTTTTTCCAATTCTGCAGGGAAGCGCTGTAATGCCGCTGTAACGTATGAAAAAATTGCAAACCTCACTTCCAAATAACGAAAATGTTAATTATTTCTCTTTTTGCTGCAAAATTGTAACTTTGCAGGCAGGTGGTATTGCTCCTCAGCCGTCTATTTGCGGAAATCGGATGTATGGCTCCTGAAAAATTGCTGATGGCTCTTAAGAATTGGATTCCCTGGCCAAGGGTCCAAGGTTCTTGCTAAAACTGTATAGGGGAGGAAGCTTAAACACTGAAAACATCATGTTTCCTGTCAAGAAGACACGTCACTATTAATGGTAAACTAAAAACCAGTGAAAAAACATATATCGACGGTGAAACTACCAAACCACGTATCTCGTTTGCGGTGTTTAAAAATCTACGCTCACATTTTATTTTTTTGAAGTAGACCAAATCAATATCATTCCTTGAAATTTTCACGGAATTTTCTCCGCACAAAGAGGAAAAATCACAGAAATTTTTAAGACTGGACGTTAAGTAATTTTCATTTAAAAAATAAAGTATGACAGGAAGTCTGCGACGTCGCAAACCGAGTTATGTGATTGCCGACTTGCACCGTCGATATATCTTGTCAAGGCTCATGTGCGGCAAAATGTTATTTTCTCTATTTATTTTACAAAATTAAGTACAGTCAAGAGGACATGCAAAAATCATTGTACATGCTAAAATCAAGAAATATGGAAGGCTATGTAAATTTAATCGCTTCCAAGGGCGAGTGTCAGATTAAGTCTACGGGACAGAACACGGAAAAAATGATGTTACTAACCTAACAACTTTGCAGTTCAAAAAAGTGTCCGACAGGTTTCGAAATAACTTTTGCAAAAAAAATTATAATGTAACCGACTTCGTAATTAAATTAGCTTTCCTTTATTGTAAAATGTACATTTGAAACATGTGGGACGTATTTTTAACAATTTAATTGCTAAATCAGCAATCCACTTTTTTCGTGAAGAATGATCATTCTTTCGGTGAAGCTGTCTGGAAACCGTCCTCTTCGTTCGAGCATTCATTTGTGCCACTTTTAAACTTGACCAGCCCGTTGTCTCCCCATTCAGAATTCCAAGAATTTGCAGCCAGGTAGTACCCTGGGCCGTACCCGATTACCCTTACGGCGTGCCATCCCAGCTTTTTTCCAGTTACATGATGGTATATTCCTGGAAAAATGAGAGAAAATAGCACCAAGAAGTGGCACGAACTGTACGTAACAAGATGGAGAAATGGATTGCATTTTGCAAAAAGGAACCAGGAGCATTGCAATGTTGCTAAAATTGTGCATCTTCTTTTATCTTGGATGAAAAACGTGATTATCCATTAGCAGTTCCTATTTTACTCGCTAAAAACTGTAGATTTAATACAAAAATTAGCAAGTAAATTTCATATTTTTTCATGGTTTCAGTAATTTTATTGCAAAGGATGAAGTTGCACAATCTTAGCACCATTGCAATGCTTCTGGTTCCCTTTTGCAGAATGCAATCCAAATGGTGTGGACCCAGCACCATTTCTCCACTTTGTTCCTGGAAAAATTCACAGGTGCTGGTCATGTTAGTGCAAAGAAGGTTAGTCTACAGTACTGAGACATAGATTTCTTTTTTTCGATCACGTGATTGGCAGGGTGTCTACCGTCATTAAATCCCGGAAAATATGTTGATGCAATATAAACTGACTATACCTCATCAGTTTTTGCGGTTATCTGGTTATAACTCCGGAGAACACACGGGATCGTTAAAGGAAACTTGAAATAATTGATTTTTTAAATTAAAAAAGTGAATTTGGTCTGGGTACGGAATTTTCAGTTGACTTCCTGGGCAGGTTTGAGCAAATGTGACACATTTGTACGGCAGAATCACATTTTTAAATGAAGGGAGAAATTATTTATTTCATTCGAATATAGAGGATGTTCTCCTCCGCGGAATCCATTGTTACCAGATGGTGCTGAAACTCAGCTTATTTACCCATTTAAACCCATCTGTAAAATGTACATTTTATCGTACAATCCGGCAACCTTGCCGCAGCTATCACTAACACACTCTCACTTGATTTTTTGAATGGCCAGGAGTGCTAACTAGGAGATTGATGTCATCAGGAAAATATCTGGAAAATCGGCCATGGATCAGGAAATTCCGAGTCTAAAGCAAAGCGTGACCGCCTTGATTTACTTAATTCAATATTTTGGTTTGTGAAATCAAACAATTGTCAATTTATTCGCGGTAAAAATCAGGAGATACCATTTGAATTGTTGGTTTCAGGACATTTGTCAACGATTGTTTTTTCCGCGCAACTGTTTTGCCAGTAGTTTATGTCCACGAGTAACATTGGCGACAGTGACTTGGTCCAAGCGTCATATCTTAATCCGTATGTGAAATTGGACGTGTTTCTATCAAACGGAACTTTGTGCATTAAGACATGAGCCCTGAGATCTATGAGAATATATGCATAACAGGAGCTCACTTCATAATACACATAGTTCCGTTTGATAGAAATACGCCCAATTATAATGACAATATTAAAATGAGTAAACTGAGAGCGGAGGAGGTGTTGTTATGATAGGTCATTTTTGAAGTGAAATGTTACTTTCTTCTTTTGGTTCATTGTCATTGGTGAATATTTGGTTTAATTTTTATCCTTAAAATTTTCGATTTAAAATGTACCTTACTATACCTTTCTTTTCTTTTTTTTTTAAATGAAAATATTACCTTATTTTAAAAACATTTATTTTTTTACAAATCGATTTGCAACACTTTTTCTACGACTCGGAATCGTTATTAATTCTATGAGACGTAGTTGTGTTGAAAGAAACTATACAAAAAGTAATAAAAGAAAAAGAAGGAGCACACAATCTTCGGTTTTAACTCATTTTACATAAATCCATTAGAGTCAAATGCGTCCAATTTTGAGCGTTTGGTTTCGCGCACACCACGCGGCAGCACAGTAAAATCACAAAACTTACAATAAAAACTTAAAGTGCTTTGGAAATCATTATCAATTTAAATGAGAATCGTCCATGCAGAGTGTGCAAACATTTCAAAATCACGAGTTGAAAAACGCTGACTCCGCGAGCTTAAATATTAGAGCCAAAAAGAACGGAGCGACATGCGGTGCGGCGTGCTGCTAGCGCGACATGCGATCTAGCGCCTACAAACCTAACAGGGATACTACACGCATTGCGCAATGCGTGAAGTATCCCTGTTAGGTTTGTAGGCGCTAGTGCGCTTGTCACGGCCCGGCGCTTCAAGCAACTATTTCGCAACAAAAATGTTGCACTGTATAATACGAAATTGAAGGCGCTCCAACGTATCAAGAATGACAGACATCCTTTAAGAGTACGAAGCTTTCCTCGCAGAATAAATCAAGATACACTTACCGGGCTTTTTTCTTAAAAAGTTATTTAGGTTTTTAAATCATTGGATGATTCTGCAACCTTGAATGAGCATCGGATTAGGGTTAGTACAAGCCTATGCTCCAGGCTTTCAAATTTTCAGGGATTAAGACCGACTGGAGTCTCTTTTTGCAGATCCAATACTTTCACTTAAAATCTAAAGCTAAATTTCTACATTTTTATATATTTTTAAATTAAAGATTATCAATTTTATTCAGATATATTTGGTATTTTGATTTATTTTACTTTAATACTTAACTTTTAAAGTTTTTTATTGTTTAAGTTTTTCTCAAGGAACGTTAGTTCCTTGAGAATTTGTCGCCACCACCGGAATTCGAACCCGGGACCTGGTCTGCCGCGCTAAAGGAGAACGCCGCGTCAATATTCGAGAGTTGGCAAATTTCCATCGATAAAATGTTTATTTTCTAAGGAAAGTTATGAATATTTTTCCTCTGTATTTTCAGAATCTTTAGGTAAAATTGCGAACTAAATTACATGAAAAATTGGGAGGAAATTATACATTTTACCGGGTGTTTCACATTTTATCAAAGAAAATTTGGCAACGTCTGAAGGTTCATCCGACGTTTTTCCTTAGCACGTATTGGTGTAGAGTCGGGCTTTTTTTTCTGTTATTTCTGGTCAAACTAGGTTGGAGATTGCGGGAGCGAATCAGGCGTCGACCTCAGGAATTTAATTTAATAGACGAATTTAGTGTGACGTCACATCTCGATTTAATTTCGATATCTCGAAAGTCGAAACGTGCCCCAACAAACGAACATATAGGAATCTACGGGATTTAGGCAGGGGGGGTAGGGGGATTCGCTTTATGACTGTCACTGATATTACGAGCCTATTATACAATCAATTCTTGTGATTGTGATCTCGAACGTTTTTGTAAATGGCTGGCTTTCATACTTTTAAAGTCCCATGGAGCAATTTTTCAGTTTCAGGCAGTTTCAGCATTATTTCGTCAATTGTTCATTTTGGAGGTTATGTTTGTTTGTTGGGGCACATTTCGACTTTCGAGATATCGAACTAACAATATCGCTCCGTGACGTCACCACTAAATTCGTCTATCGTCCTGAGCCCCCATTTACGACTCCTGTCTAGTGTCCTCTCTTGTCTAGTGGTCCATTCCACGTTGAGCTCCTCGCTTCGGAGCCTTTTAAGGAGTAAAGAGATCGTGATATTTGGAGCTGTAGGGAAATTAAAAACGAAATCATCCTGTACCTGATTTATAAAGTGGGAAGTCTGCGAACACTTCAAAGCTCATCGTGACCGGGCCAAATTCACTTAGCTCCTTTTTGAGATCAGCAGCTTTTACTTGGTAGGCGCGTTTACCTGATTAAGTAGTTTACCCATTAGTATCATGAACCTTGGAAAATGTATAGTGTTGATTTATACTTATGCTATGCACTATACATGACTTTCGACCCCGTATAGCTTCACATGGAAAATACGCTACAATACATGGACTCAACTCACTATACATAGATGCGGACTACACTCTGCAATAAGGAACTGCAATTCTTGGCTTATTCTAGGAACGACGTCCATGCGCCATTAGTTTCTCTATAGAAATAGGCTCGTTACGGATGGGTCAGAAATGTTTGTTCCATATCGCAAAATGACGTCCGAGTGTCGGCTCTGTATGGTTTTCCTTATCCTATACCGTAAAGTTCATAATGAAATACTGCATGAAGTGCGAAGTTAAGCGTTATGATCTATTTTTTCTCATCAGAAGTTCATGTTGAAAATGATTCCTACAACGAAAATTACCAAGACTAACTGCTGATCATTTTATTAATATTTTTCGATGCATAAATTCAATACAGTTCATAAAAAATCATAATTCTCTTGGGTTAAATCGCACAGTAAACGTTACTGTGACAGTTGCTGGCGGTAATACACTATGCGAGCCTTAATTTCGGTGCATTAGCTCAAGTTTTGCTCGTTGTTTACACTTTGAACAATGTAGGGTAGGGCAGGAACTCTGTTTGATATGGAACCCTGCCAAAACCGTTGTATGTACTATACTTTTTCGTGTGAGCGGGAAATTCAAATTGTACTAACAAATCCTGAATTGAAACGTTAGTATCTTAGTTAGGAGGCCATTTTAGTAATTTGCATCGCACAAATGAAGTTCTACATGACATTTTGAATAGGAAACATGTATCTGAATGCTTAAACGTACCCTCTTTGATAGTCCAAAATAAAATGCAGAAAACGAAGTTTTCGCAGCAAAATTAGCCAGGAGCTCTAGAAACCAGAACTAAGCTGGTAATACTATTTTGAATGTTTGTGCTTTCAATATAAATTGTTTCATTTGAATTTTCTCTCTGTTACAGGTAAGTTTTTGATTTCGCTCCTTCAACTCTAATTCAAGCAAGGAAATTGTGAGTTGATTCTTTATTCCAATTGAAACTCTTTTAAAATGAAACTTTTCAGAAGAAAATCTCTGTTGGTTTTAAATAAAAATTAGCTATTACCGCTTTACGAATCGTGTTCTACGTGAAACATTGTACAGGGAACGTATATGGATCACATTTTGCATTTGGGAACTACAAGTATCCACTCTTCTATAAAAGCACCTGTCTATATTAGGGAACAAATGACACGTATACTGCTTCTAAACTAAGCCAGAAATTGTATTTTCTAATAATTGCAAAATAAAGGACAGATCAGAATGTTTAAATTCACACATTGTCTGGTAGCTTATTCTAAAGTCGCAAAAGTAGCCACGATCAGTATTTTTCATGAGCACGTATATTTAAAGTTCAAGAAAGGTTACTCAGATTATTGATCTTTTCTTTTTTGAAGCTACACTGGAAAAAAAAAAAAAAAAAAACATCGGATCTAGAGTCCAGACTCTTGAAAACACTGACAGGAAAAAGGACTCTTGATTCAAGCAAATGTAAGCTTAAACCAAAAGGATATCCGCTCAAATTAAGAGGCTTCGTTCTTGATTTAAGCTTAAATCTGATTGAATCAAGAGTATTTTTTTTGTCGATGTTTTTAAGAGTCTGGACTCTAGATCCAATGTGTTTTTTTCCAGTGTATGGCAAAGAATGGATGATTCAGGTGTGTGCTGCGAACACCCTCTATACCGATCCTTTTCCATACATTTAAATGGCAGATCAATCGATTTATCGCAAAGCACGCCACGCACTGCAAGGCGTGTGTGTAAAGCGGGAACCAACTAGTGCGTAGGCGTAGAATGCTCTGCTCGAGAATCTTTGTCATTCTCGTAAACTCACCAAAATGTCGGTCCTTTGCAAAGGGTGTCTGATAGCTTTTATTAGAGCATTCCGTTTTACAGGATGAGACTACCGTCTTATTGGAACTATCGCAAATCTTATATTTGCCATCTCTGTCCATATGATGTATGCAAGGTTTTATCAGATACGGCTTGCAACCCTGCGAAATTTAATTTTGAGTTAGTTTTTCCATCGAAAGAAAAGGTCGTGGGATTACAACGTCATTAATTGAAATTCATCTACGTCGTATCCTTTTTTGGAGGCATATACATCCGAAGGAACGGTATTAATTGAGACATGAGCCATGTCCTGCATGTATTCTTATGGACCTCAGGGCTCACATCAGAATGAATGTAGTTCCTCTTGCTAAAAAGAAAAAAAAAACTACATTTCATCATCAATTTGTGAGCATCGGACGGATCTTGCTGCAATAAGTGAATCATCAGCTCTGCCGTCTTAAGGAATATAACGTCTGATGTACATCCGGATGTTGCCACATTACTTTTAATGTGTTTAATGTGTTTGGAAGAAGTTGTGAATATTTCTCTGTTCCTCCTATTTTTATTCCCCAGCGAACTTAACTTAAAAGATTAAGAGTGTCTGTTAATTTAAAGGAAAAATCCTCGTACCCAAGTAGCTTAGATTGCAGTAACTTGTAATCACATGATAATATTATTTCTACAGCATCAGAGTGTCACGCATGTTGCGTGTTAATAAATTGAAGGGACGCTTTTCATGGAAATGTATTGCATTGCAAATTGTTTATTTTTCGGACATCGCATGAATAATACCTTGTTGGTTGTTCGAAACGGCGTTTATGCACCGAATGGTAAAAAAAAAAATGTATTATTTTCTCGTTTAAAAAAAATTGCAATTTTATCGTCATCAAACTCAATTTTATTTCAATATTTGAAAACCGTGATACAATCGACGAACCCGTGAATTCATTGACAAAGTCGTGAATAAATCGACAACTCCATGAATCGGTCGACTAATCCCTCACTCGATTGCGAAACCTTTGAATCGATTGATAAAACCCGTGAGTCGATCAACGAACCCGTGAATTGATCGACGAAGTCGTGAATAAATCGACAACTCCATGAATACTTGCTAAAAACTGTAGATTTAATACAAAATTTTTCAAGTAAATTTCATAGTTTTTCACGATTTCCGCAATTTTATTGCAAAGGATGAAGTTGCACAATCTTAGCATCATTGCAATGCTAGTGGTTCCTTTTGTAAAATGCAATCCAAATATAGCGCTGAATGACTGATTAATTGAACTGATTCAGTTTTTACCTGGTTTGTGCCGAAATCTCCTCCGGTTACGACGCCATGTTTCGCGTAGTATTTGAAAGCACACTCTTCCAAGCCCCCGTCACAGCCATAACAGCATTTATCTTCGACGCAGCAAGAAAGGATCTCCCACGCTGAAATCGTGTCTTTGAACTTACCGTTACTGGAAATGCAAATCCTATCCGTGATCACGGATGCTGAGGACACTGCCTGAAAACGACCGCTTTGATTGTCAAGGGGACGTATTTCTGCCAAACGGAGCTGTGTGCAATATGACATCAACCCTGTTATGCATATATGCCGACGCATCTCGGGGCTCATGTCTTAATGCACATAGTTCTGTCCGTCAAAAACTCGTTCAATTGAAGCACATTTAACAGGAAGGAACCTTTAACTGGGCATTTTAATTTTCTACGAGGAAACGTCTGTGCAGATCCCCTTGAAAATTTTAAGGAATTCGCTCCGCACTACATACAGAAATTTCATCGACATTTTCTCAAAAATCTGCACAATCGTTTTCATGTAAAACACTAAATTGTCCAATTAAATTAGGCAATAGTTGATGCGGCTTAGTTCGTTCTGTTTAACGCGGTTACGAATACGATCTGTTACTTTTCACTTTGTATGTCATTAATGTTTAGACGATAAAACTACAAAAAACCGCGTATCTTTTCCATGGTATTTTAAAATCTTCCTCCTCATTTAATCAAAAGAAGAAAAACTAGAGCTATCGAGAATGGACCACTAGACAAGGTACGAATTTCAGCATTCTGATACATGTTTCTTAATCAAAATTTCACGAAAAACAAGATGCGCACAACAAAAATTACCGAAATCAACTCCTTACAAAGATATTTAATGATTCCTGATGCGTGAATTCAAACCACCCGCTCATTAAAACTCAATGCTCTACGTGATTCACATCACCAGTTAAACGTTATCATGACAGTCTCTGCGATATAAAAATCTAGCAACCTCAATCTTGACGCTTTGCTCAGCTATAGCAAGTTTTTTATAGTTTGAACAACACATGGTGGGAAATGAACATTGCTCGATTGAAAAGCTTGCTGAAACCGTTGTAGTGCACGATTTGACTCACGTAGAGTTTTGAGTTTCTTGTGTGCGGGCAGTTCAAATTCCTCGTAACCAATGTGAAATAAAAACGTTAATATCTTTGTTAGGAGTTGATTTCGGTAATTTTCGTTGTGCGAATCGTGTTCTACGTGAAATTTTGGTCAAGAAACATGTATCAGAATGCTTACATTCGTACCATGTCTAGTGGTCCATTTGTAGGTGTGTGCAATTTTGAAAATTTCAGGTGTGAGATGACCCTACTGAGTGAAATGAGCGTAAGATTATCCTTGGTTTCTGAGAGGAACGATTGGACGTATTTCTATCCAACGGAACTATGTGCATTAAGACATGAAACCTGAGATCCATTAGAATACATTCATAACGCGACTCACGTCATGATGCATACAGTTCTGTTTTGCAGAAGCAGAAATACGTCCAATTGAAGCGCTGGTGCAAAAAGGGCATTTGTTAGTTGCAGTGTATCAGAATCATCATTGAAGTTCTATCCGTGTTTAAGCAAATGTATGGGATTTGTTAAAACTTTTACTGAATTTTCTTTATGATTTTGAGATGCCGAAATAAAAAAACCCAGAAAATTCACCGAATAGTTTCTTCTCTAAAATATAAATTAGCGGTGGAGATTCTAAAACACCGCAACCAAGATGTGCTCTTTCTGCATCCAACGCCTCAATCATTAGAGGAGATATGACCAAGCCACCTCTGCTGAAATACGTAAGATTAATATAGGAAATTCCACCCGATGGCACCTCAAGGTGGCAGATTTTCTCACTTTAAAATCGGTTTCCAAACAATTTCACATCACCGAAAAAAATTAAAAATACTGCGAACGCAGCTTGTTAAGGACTGTCAGATACACCACTCATTTTTCCGCGCAAATGCACCACTAGACAAGGTAATAATTTAAGCAATCTGATACATGTTTCTTGACCAAAATTTCGCGTAGAAAACGATTTACACAACGAAAATTACTGAAACCAATTCCTAACGAAGATATTCACGTTTTTATTTCACACTGGTTACGAGGAATAAGATCTGCCCGCTCACAAGAAACTAGAAGCTCTACGTGAGTCAAATCGCCCACTACAACGGTTGCAGCAAGCTTCTCAATCGAGCAATGTTCATTTCCCACCATGTGTTGTTCAAACTATTAGCAATTCGCTATAACTGAGCCAAAGCGTCAAGATTGAGGTTGCCAGATTTTTATATCGCAGAGACTGTCATGATAACGTTTAGCGCGCGATGTGAATCACTTACTTAGAACATAAAGTTTTCATGAGCGGGTGGTTCGAATTCACGCATCAAAAATCATGAAATATCTTCGTAAGGAGTTAATTTCGGTAATTTGTGTTGTGTGCATCGTGTTTTACGTAAAATTTTTGTGAAGAAACATGTATCAGAATGCTGAAATTCCTACCTTATCTGGTGGTCCATTATCTATTGCTTGCAATTTTCATAGGCCTGTGTTCACGCAGTGAAACAATTACGGAAGTTTTCATGAAATAACTTTAAATATCTCCTTCAACCTAGAGTACCTATATTGAGAGAGTATGGCCACTGGGCCCCATGGAGAGGCTTAGGACCCAAAAATAGCGGTGCTTTGTTTTGGTTTTTGTGGATGGGAGGGGGGTCATTGCCAACTTTTGACGGTTATCACCGACCGCACTTGCTGCCAACCTTACTACATCCAAGATAATTTTTCTCAAAAATTGCACACGATTAGCCTTGAAAATATGTAAAGAAGTCACAATAGTGCATTTGAGTAAATTTTTCGTTACGATAAGCAAAGAAAACTACATTTTGAGTCATTTTGCATTACATTAATTTATGGCGTCCGCCGTTTTTGGGTACTAAGGTCTCCATTCAGCCTAAGATAGCTGAGCCAATCAGAGGTGGTAACACCAGTGGCCATACTCTCTCAATATAGGTACTCTACTTCAACCCAAAAAAATGAATAAAATTGTCAATATTTTATGGAAACTCATACCCAACAACCCCCGCAGTACCCTTGGTCATAGATGTGGGAAAGGCTGGGACAGTTGGTCCACTTCTTCCTCGCGTCGAACTCAGCCGGTGGATCAGCACCCGAATAAGTGACTCGGAACTCTTCCTCGAGGTCATCTGAAACCGTTCCATTTGCTTGTTCGTCTCTCTCGGGTCTCCAGGCTGAAGCAAGCCGCTTAAGGTAGTCCGGATCCGTGTCGTCGGGGAAGTTCCTTCCTGCCTGTGCCACACCCATAGGAACACTTAACGCACAGTGGCTCGAGTCAATGGAAGAAGTCAGACATGAAATCGTCGACAAAAATTGTAAAATTTGACAAGTATTGAATTGTAGACCAGTGTTAACATTTGCCGCAGAGACCAGGGCTGAGACAAAGCGCACCAAACAACAATTCCGCACCGTTGAAATGAAGGTCTTAAGAAAAATAGCGGGCTTTACACTTTGGGATCATCAGACCAACGAGTCCATCAGGGATGCTTGTAATGTGCAAGATGTAGCCAAGTGGACTAGGATGATGAGAAAGATGTGGTCGGAGCACGTTGACAGAATGGATGAAGAGAGACTGGGAAAAGTTTGTATGACTGGACAAACCATAGGGAAAAGACTGCCTGGACGACCGCCTAAGAGATGGGCACAAAGCTGGCTCTCTTCTCTTGAAGATGATTGAATGTTCCTGTTGCTATTTGTTTTATTGACTTGACGAATCTTTACAGATAATTATTATATTTTTAATATTTTGTGCTCGGCACTCGAAGGCTTGACAAACAGGGCCATGCCCTAGTCGTTAGTAGAAAAAGAAGATCATCGCGATTATAATATTTAGGGGTGCTTTGTATAGAGAATTTTACGAGGAAACCAATGGAACTACTTTCAATACATCAAAATTTCATATTAATGAAGGTATATGCTTTAAAAGTTTTTAAATCATGTCCGACCTCTCCCATTGACTCGATCCACCGTTCGTCATGAAGACATGGTCCACGTTGATTTACTGATATATCCTATATTCCTATCAAACAGAACTACGTGCATTAGGAAATGAGCCCTGAGATCCACAAGAATACATGCATAACAGGGCTCGCGTCATAATGCACATAGTTCCGTTTGCCAGAAACACGCCCATATAATCAATAGAATGGGCCTGTTGCGAATTTTAGCTAAAGCAGAATGTAAGTTGTCTCTAATTGGAAATGGCTCAAAAATCACGATGAGCGCGTCAGAAAAGTCTGAATTACATTCCTGACGTTACAATCTGCCTTAGAATTGTGCGTTTCTCAAGCTTCTCGCTTCAAAAACGATACTACGGCACGTAGATTAACATTTCATGAGAGGAGTCGTTCCATCCAACCTTTGCACACTAAGATGCTGCACGATAATCAACATGGCCGACGCCAATCCGCCAAACACAGTCACACAATTCTACAATATTTGATTCTCATTGACCCAAGATTTTCCTTGGGCTATAAGCGCTAAAATGTTACTCAGAGTTAATTAATCGGTTGTTTCCAATTCGCCTTCAATTGCGTCGGGAGCAATTGTCGCAACGAATATGTTGTGCGTGCTGATTTTAGTTCATTACATAATTGACTCTTTGAAGGCGTTTTGTGTGGGCAAATGGCGCACCCTGTTGGAGAAACACAAAAGAAGAGATTGAAATCTAATTCTAATTTTCTCCAACAGAAAGCGCTGTTTGCCCACATAAAACGCCTTCAAAGAGTCAATTATGTAATGAACTAAAATCAGCACGCACAACATATTCGTAACAACAATCGCTCCCGACACAGCTGAAGGCGAATTGCTTGCGCTCATAAAACGCCCTCAGAGAGTCATGTATGTAATGAAAGGGAATCAGCACGCGCAACATATTTGTGACTTCAATCGCTGCAGATGCAGCTGAAGGCGAATTTTAAACAACCGCGCACTAGGATGCCACACAATATACAACATGGCTAACGTTTCCGCGCGCAAATCGTGAGGAAGCACCATGGTCTTCATCGACGGAAGGAAAATGTATTATAAAAACACTGGTTGATAAATCGTATTGTCACGTATGTTTTGGGTGGTTGGCCTCGGCCACGTTGAATATTGTGTAGCATCTTAGTGCGCAAGGGTTGGACGAAACAACTCCTCTTACGAGATGCTCGCCTGTGCCGTATTGTTTTTGAAGCGAGAATCTCAGAAATAAGCGCATTTTTCACGTAGATTGTAAAATTAGGAGTTTATTTAAGACTTTCCATTGCGCTTATCGTGATTTTTGAGTCATTATCTACAAGAAGCGGCTCTTTTTTCTTGCTCTAGTTGAAGTTCACAACAAAGCCTATTAGATTTGGATGAGTTGAAATGTCAACGACGACAGACAAGGTGCAATATTTTTTGATATTCATTTCACCGGGGCCTCTCAGTCTTTACAACCATCATAAGTGGATAAATAAGAGCAATGAGAACTCTACAAGGCCTGCGTCAAAAGCGATTAAAAGTCAATATACGGAGAAAAAAACTTCATGCTGGTGACACTAAGATTAAGTCCTGGCCTCTGAAGTTCTCTATTCGTGCATCTGAAAACTTGAAATCCAGCCGTCAAATTTCATGTCACACATCTAAGATACTTTAGTGCTTTGGTCGAATCTTGAAAAGCTGCAGCCGAAACACCGAAAGGTTTCAGATATCGACGGTGAAAGTACCAGACCACGTATCTCGTTTGCGGTGTTTAAAAATTTCCACTCGAATTTTATTTTTTTGAAGGAGTTCAAATCAATATCATTCCTCACAATTTTCACAGATTTTTCTCCGCACGAAGAGGAAAAATCACAGAAGTTTTCACGCATTGACGATGAGTAGTTCTCCATTTAAAAAAGAAATTGTGACAGGAAGTCTGCGACGTCGCAAACCGAGATACGTGGTTTGGTAGTTTCACAGTCGATATGTCGCCCGAACTTCAACAGCTAGACCTTAAGTTAACGGGTGCAGGATTCGTGCACGAAAAGTTCAGAGATCCGTGAACTTCGGGTCCTACGCACGACGTTTTTCTCTCCATGTACGAGCTATGAAAATACATTACCCATATTTAATGAATCCTAACTAGTTTAATCCAAATATAACATCTTGGCTGTTGACTCGTCTGTATCAAAGTTCATGAACAGTCATTCCAATTCCAGTCTTGTCCAGTGCCATAATTTAAGAAGTTGACTATGTATCTATAACATCACTGTTAATATCCTTTGGTTTACGCTGGACGCATACAACGATTTATACTTGCACCATACTGGGACAACTGCATGTACCTCATTTTGCAATCAGGAACTTCAATTTATAGTTCAACCGTAATATCACTTTTGTGCATAGGGAAACTAATGGCACATTCTGCTTTGTTTCTGAAATAACCAAGCAATCGCAAAATGCAGTTCAATTTGTCGACAGCATTGGGAGCAAAGCAAAAAAACCAGTGTGCCTTCAAATATTTGATAATGCAACCCGGGCACTAAGAAGCACAAATAGTTGTATTCAGGTGCTACAATCAGAGTTTAATGTTACACTGAAAAAAAGATTGGCAGAATTTACCATTCCTTCACGCTGTATTTCCAACAGCGTGAATTCAAAGTCGAGTCTACCAGAGGAACGGTTACCTGTATCACTATATAGTAACGTTTACCTTTATTCTGGCAGAATTGAATCTGAATTAACGCTGTGTGGAATACAGCGTGAAGGAATGGCAAATCCTACCGATCTTTTTTTTCAGTGTACTACTGCGTCGTAAAAACGTTATCATATCACTTCAGCGTCGCCAAATTTCCTCGACTCATCTACTACAAATTTCGTGGGAAACTCCTTCCTTTTTACTTTTTAAAGTCGAGGAAGAAAAGCAAACCAGGTTTTTTGCAAATTTGTATTTTTTTTTATTTTGAGGAAAGGTTCTTACCGTCCATGACGACTGAACACGGTTAAGTAATGTATTCGATCATTGCATCCTGATTTTTGAGACTGAAGGTTTCTGAATCTCCCGAGAAAATGTCCCGTGCTGACGCTGGAAGTAAGTTCAAAGCTCCACAAAAATAGAAAGCTTCCCATAATAGCCGGAGGTAGTTTCCGAACTTAAAAACTGCATTATTTATTTCATATCTACTAAAAGTAACAAGTCGGCGGTGTTAGTAGGCAATCACATGACTCGTTTGCGGTGTCTGAAAATCTTCGCCTCTATGCTAATCTCTTAAAGGAGAACAAATTGACATTATTCCTTGAAAGTGCAGAATTTTCTTCGCAGAAAGAAGAAAAAACACGGCAGTTTTAAAGAATTGCCGTCGAGTAGTTTTTCGTTTAAAAAATAAAGTATGACAGGAAGTCTGCGACGTCGAAAACCGAGTTATATGTGTGATTGCCGACTTACACCGTCGAAATGGTACACCTTCGTTTAAAAGAAAGCAAGTTTTTCTTGTTGTCTGCTCGTAACACATTTCACGAAAGAAAGCTTTCATGATACTGTTTTAAGAATAATCCTGTCGAGCATGCGAAACAACGATAAGCACTAACGAGTTGTAGATGTAACAAATGAGTTTTTTGTAGGCAATTTATTTTCATTAAGTTCACCTTTTTCATAATTGATCTAAGTTGTTAAATTAAGTAACCTTTAATTTATACACTGACTCATAAGCACCTTTTGATGTCTCACTCTATATCCACCTTATTGGGCCTTTACTTGGACTTATTCATTTTGCATTAAGGAACTACAATTTTTGGCTCATTGATAAAGACTCTTTTCTCCATGCAGGAAGTAATGGCATATCGACGGTGAAACTACCAAACCACGTATCTCGTTTGCAGTGTTTAAAAATCTACGCTCACATTTTATTTTTTTGAAGTAGACCAAATCAATATCATTCCTTGAAATTTTCACAGAATTTTCTCCGCACGAAGAGGAAAAATCACAGAAATTTTCAAGACTGGACGTTAAGTAGTTTTTCATTTAAAAAATAAAGTATGACAGGAAGTCTGCGACGTCGCAAACCGAGATACGTGGTTTGGTAGTTTCACCGTCGATATGTGTTGTTTCTAAAATGAGCCAAAGATTGCAGTTCCTACTTGCAAAATCAGGGTGTCTATCGTCAGTAAAAATCGATAAATATCAGAAAATTTGATATCTTCAAGAAACATCAGGGTAATATGTAGTCCAATTGACCATAATTGTTTCCTCGCCTTTCATAACCTCGGAATTTTAGAACTTTCAATGCTGAAGTTTTTTAGGA